AAGTCAACCATCGACCAGCTAAAAGAAAAATTGGAGAGCCCAAATTTAAATTATAAGCTTGCAAGCAATTTTTAGCTAGCTTTTACAAATTAAACTTTTACCCGATTTCGAAAGGATAATAGCTACCAATAAAGCATATTCAATTTTTGTTAAAGCAAATCGTTTGAAGTGAACAACAGATTTTGTATATACATAATCTGATAATTTAATCATTCTAAAACTTTTAAAAAAAGTGTTTCGAATTTTTAGAACAGTTTATTTACTTATCATCATTTACAGAATGATTCATAATAGCAAGAGCTGGCATAAGACAATCTTTACGTGTCCAAGTTTCAAAGCCTAATTCCCAAGCTATGTAGGTGCTTGTAAATGAAGTAAACAAATTACAGATCTGCCTTAGATGTGCAATCTATTTATAAATAGAAAATTAAATTTTAGATTAATCGAGTTTTTATTAAGGTTGGACAATGAAATCTCGGGGACGCTTGTGTCGGTGTTTTGTGGGGTTTTGAATTGTTTTGGTCGGGGCTCTGAAAAAATCGTACGGGGTCAGGTCACTTTTACGGCGTACGGGTCAGGTCGCGGGGTCAGGGTACGGGTTACTGTTGGGTATTGGCTTAGTATAAAAGCCTTCCTATTATTCAGTCGCGGTCTTAGTCTTATTGTCGCAGTGTTATTCCTATTCTATTCCGTCTCCACATATTCGGCGCTTAGCCATTTCCTATTGTTCGCCCTTATTGTATTTAGTATTGTAGATAAAGCACAGTTTGATAGTTACTGTCTTATCTTGTGTTTATTCTTGTTATACGTAGACATACAAGTCACGTACATAACAGTTACGGTTGTCAGGTCGCTTTTGTATTTAACTCCATTTTAGCACAACCGTTATACTGTAGGTTAACAAAACTGATTTGTTTAAGTAGGAGCAATTTAATAACACTATCATAAGGGAGGATGGGATTAACGCAGAACTCTATGCCAAAATTATTATGCTCCTTCATGTATGTAGATTGTATATACCTGATCAGATAAAGTCAATTTTTCAAAGACAGGCATAGATTTAGCTATACCAAAGCACAGAAGTCTGTCAACAAACATCCATTTTTGACTTCTACTATTAAATACACCTTCATTTTGATATGAAGATTCCCAACTTTTTAATTCATCAAAAGGTATTGGACTTGGATTTAGCTTCAAAATTAAATTTTTTCAAAATTAATTTCAAAATTTACCGAAAATGTGTCAGTTAAACGAAAAATATTGAAATTGGATAAAATTATTTCTTCAAACAAAATCGGGCCTTTAAGGAATATATCATCCAAATCAGCAAATCCATGCATTATACGTTTTTTGGCTTCAATAATTGGTAAAATCGAGTCTATCAGTTTTTCGTCGTTGATGGTTATGTCGACAGTTGGGGAATTTAGCATCTTAAAATAACGAGAATTTTAATTTATAATTTATTATTATGTTTTGTTTTTGTTCCTTTGAGTATTCAACTTATTGTGAGGGGTATGGAAAATTTTGAAATTAGTTCATACATCTTCGTAAATTTTATGTTGTTAAAGATATTTCGATGCTTTTCTTTCGTTTTTCACAATTAGAACTTTTCAATATTCGATTTACAAAGTATTTTTATCAACCCTAGTTTACACTAAAAGTGTCTTCCAATTCATGTATAAAATAAATAAATTCACTTTAATTTCATTTTTCTGTTCTTCCATCGCTTCCCGGCTTATATCATCATGACGTAAATATCCAGCATCTAAAATTATTTTTAAACATTGAATACAGTATTTCCCATCCCTTGTTTATACCTCAGTTATATCCCCATGATGAATACAAAAGGATTAGAAGTGATTAACAGAGTAATGAAGATTTGGAGGGTTAACGGGGGATTTTTGGGATTAACACTGACTAGGTCATTAATTTATCGGTAAATTGGACTGATGCAGTGGATATAAGAGATTGGTTAACGGAAACCGATAATCCGATCAGCTGAGGCTTCGAGAGGCTGAGGTTTTTTACTCTTATTTTGACAAACCCAATTTTTTCATTCCAACAGAAAAACATTTTTCAAGTCTACATTTTTTACATTTTGCCAAATCTTGTTCGGATTTTGAGTCTGTATTTTCTTCTGAACATGTACATAAATTATATTTCCATTGATTTTTGTTATCAAGATAGCGCCTTTTGAAAAGTAATTTTGGAAAAATTCCGTCATATCTCCCATACACTGATTTTGGTAAACAATAGTGAGGTTTCGAGAGGACAGTTTTTAGTTTGCCAAAATCTGGCAAACACTAGAAACCGGCAAACAATAGCATTTTGGCAAATAATAGAAACCGAACCGAACCGAAGCAGTAGCATAAGGAGTGAAAAGAGATTTGAAAATTTTGCTTTTCGGCATTTTGTTTTCTCCTACCCCAATACAAATCAAATTCTAATCCGAAGCCGAAGTAGGATATTGTCATGTTGAACAGGACTTACTCAATTAGTTCAGCAGGCAAATTTTGTGAGTTTCGGAAAGCCACTAGTAAGATTTCTTCCTTTTCTTCACACGATTCCCATCTTTTGCTCATTTCTCATTTTTATCCCATCATTAGATTACTTAGATATCATTAGATTATCATTAGATAGATATCATTAGATTATCATTAGATAGATATCATTAGATCATTAGATTATCATTAAATTATCTTTAGAACTGGTGCCGAAACCGGTTCCAGAAACCTTTGCCGGTTTACAATTTCAGTTCCGGAACTGGAACTTTCCCATCACTGCCAATATGTTACTACAAAAGCTATTTTTTGTATGAAATATTATTTGTCCAAATCGGAGTATGGGATTTTTGACGCAATTTGACCAATTTTTTTTAAATTAAACAAAATAAAAATTACCTGAAAAAAGCCCCACAAGCCCTACAAGTACAAACTCCATAATGAAAATAAACATTTTCTTTTGACCCACAAATTTTGCATTTTTTTATAAAATTGTCTTGCATTTTTAAAATTAATTGGTTCTTTCTATTAAAATAAAGTAGATAAATGCTTATTATCAGGCTTTTAAGGATATTTTTATAAAAATTGAAATAAACGGGTTAATTAAAACAGAAATTTTTTTTCTGGCAAAAATAATTTTTATTTTATTTAACTTAACAAAAAAAGAAACACGGCTCCATTAGCTTTTGAAATAATTAATATTACATGAATAAGTATTATAATTATTCATATTCCATTAAATAAAAAAAAAATTTTTGGTAAAATCGTTAGTATACTAAAATTTAAAAAATCATTTGAATAATTTAGATGTATAGGAACATATTTAAGATACCTTTTGGCTCGTAAAATTATCAGCTGAATAAATAAATAAATTTTCTAAACAAAAATTGAATAGAGAAAGTTAACTTGAATGATGGATTTAATCAATTTAGTTAAACTCAAAACTTCTCTCTCATCTTTCTGTGAATGAATATTTTATTTAATAAATAAGTTTTTTATTTAAAAAACTCCAATTTATTCAAAACAGCTAATTAAACACACAAAAATTTAAATGAAAAATAAAAATCCAAAAATGATAGTTGCCATCATCGTACATTTTGATTAGCGTCATGCAGGATCCAACACTGAAAAATATTTTATATCAAAAAAGGTGGTTCTATTGCCGTTAATTTATTTGAAAATTATTTGGGATTTGGTAAGGTAAACCTCCACATCCCATGTAGAGGAATATGGATAATGCCTCAATATCCCTCCACATCCCATGATATCGTCCGTAATCACATTAGGTGTATTCGAACGTGTTTAATTTTAATTTGTCGGCTAAATAAACAAATATTTACATTTACAAAAATTTAAATGGATATTATGAGGGATATTCTCGCGTTAGTTGAAGGAGAGCTAAAATTTATTTAAAATAGCAGCTTTAGTTTAGTATACCGGAGTTTTAGTTCCGACATAAGACCCATACATTTGATTCATCTCGGCAAGCTGATTCGAAGCTTTTTTAGAAGAGAAAAATAATTCTTTTTGGTTTGTGTGTGGTTTACGACTCGTGCTGGACCCGACAAATATTATTTGATTTGGAAAAAATATTTTTTGATTCCCAAGTGTTTGGAACACCATATCTGGAACTGTTTAAAAAATTTTATATACACGCCCAAACAACCCCCGCGCCCTAACGGCCAGCGCTCTAATGGCCCGCGCCCTAAAGGCTTCAGACAAAACTTCGAATTACCAAAACTTCGTCTAGACAAAACTTCGACCGACCAAAACTTCGACCAAAGAAAAAAATCTGCATTTTTTGTCTACTAAATTACTGATTTGAAATGTTAGAAAACTATAAAAAAATATATGGGTTTTTGTAAAAAAATATGAGGATAAAATTAAAAAAAATCAATCAAATGTACATAATTAACACATTGTGTAAGTCAATTCTTGAGTAAAGAGCCACCTATAATCTTGTATTAAATATAAAAGCCGTTCATTAGCTTGTCTATATTCAATTCTTGAGTAAAGAGGCACCCGGGCCCGAAAATTTTTTGCCGGGCCCGGAGTGGGATTTTGTCATATTTTGCAATGATATGTATATTCAAATCAATTAAATACGCTCTAAAAAGTTTAGAAAGACTTTATTAAAGAAACATTGTTTGGTTTCGATTGTATTGCAGACAATTCTCTATGAACACACAAACTCAAGAGATAGTGGATATGTTTTTTTGAATAAGATTATAAAAACATTTACAATAATAATTGACTGGCTAGCTAATAATTGACCGATTAAAGTCATTTGAATATAAGTGAAAACGGGAGGAAAATTAAATACATAATATATTAATAAAATGCCACAGATTTTAAAGGTAAGAACTCCTAATATGCTCAATACTGGGTTCTACCTAACATTTCTATCATTGTAGTTTAATTTTTTACAAAACATTTTTAATAAATTTATCTTTTATGCTATCACTAAAAATAATTAAATAAAATGAATATTTGATTTAAAAAATTAAATATTTGTTTTTTTTTTGCAATTTAATCGTACTTAAAAAAATTTTGTGGTTTTGAAGATAACATTTACATCTTTGGCATAATTTTTGTAGTTTCTTGAAATACCAATAGGTAACTTAAATAAACTTCAATCTAGCTATAATCAGATCCAATAGCCTTAACAACTTGAGCTTCATTATCTTCTTCCAAAACGGTTATGGCTTTATCTGCTAAAATAAACTATTAAATTTTGTATATTAATTTTCCTTGTAATAAAAAATATATTTTGTAAAATTTTTTTGATTACCCTGATTTGCAGATGATGATCCTTCTTTTGAGTTTAACAGGTTTGCTAGTGAGTTAGTATATTTTTCCCATTCGTCGTGACGACGTTGTATAGTCGAGAGTAAAATGTTTATGCCCTCCGTCTCTTTAATCTTTTTTTCAACATCAATTCCTGTCAGGCCGTCGTTGAAGCATTGTAAAATTAAATCGTCTAAATATTAATAATATATTAAGAATGCAATAAAAATGTTATCTAATTTTATTAAAAATAATGGAATGTACTGAAGGCAAATGCTTAGATAGTTTGTCTAATCTATCAAAATTAGACAAAAAAGTAATTTTAAAAATAATTGAGAGCCTATACTTAGGCGAGTATATTGCAACCAAGAATTATTATGATTTATTTTACTTCCGTCAAAACAAATACCTTATTATACTCACCTAAGGTTTGTAACAGTGGTGTGCGGTTTTAAAAATGGGAATATTAATAGATTAATGGTTATTACCTAAAGGGTCTCGGATCAACAAAATTAAAAAAAAATTTCATCAAAATCCGGACATTACTTCCAAAATTTATTCAAATTTTTTATGTGTTCGCTTATAACCGAGTTTCAAACAAATAGATTATAATAACAAATTTTCCTTTAATTCCTTACCGAATTCTTTGAATCGACGTTCTATAGCTTTAAGTAAAGTCCAGTTTTTGCCTTTCTGCTTGATAATCTTTTCTTTTGCTTGGTTTGGCGTTAGGCCGTCGTTGAAGCATTTTAAAATTAAATCGTCTAAATATTAATAATATATTAAGAATGCAATAAAAATGTTATCTAATTTTATTAAAAATAATGGAATGTACTGAAGGCAAATGCTTAGATAGTTTGTCTAATCTATCAAAATTAGACAAAAAAGTAATTTTAAAAATAATTGAGAGCCTATACTTAGGCGAGTATATTGCAACCAAGAATTATTATGATTTATTTTACTTCCGTCAAAACAAATACCTTATTATACTCACCTAAGGTTTGTAACAGTGGTGTGCGGTTTTAAAAATGGGAATATTAATAGATTAATGGTTATTACCTAAAGGGTCTCGGATCAACAAAATTAAAAAAAAATTTCATCAAAATCCGGACATTACTTCCAAAATTTATTCAAATTTTTTATGAGTGTTCGCTTATAACCGAGTTTCAAACAAATAGATTATAATAACAAATTTTCCCTTAATTCCTTACCGAATTCTTTGAATCGACGTTCTATAGCTTTAAGTAAAGTCCAGTTTTTGCCTTTCTGCTTGATAATCTTTTCTTTTGCTTGGTTTGGCGTTAGGCCGTCGTTGAAGCATTTTAAAATTTCAGCGTCTAAAAATTAATAAAAAATTGACCATAACACAAAATTTTAAAAAATATGCAAAATTTCACAAAATATGCACAAATATACATACAATTATACGCGGAAGTACCGAAATAGCACAAATATGATATAGGAACCGTGTCCCTAATGTTCATACCGACGTAAAAACGTTATTCTTGAACGTTTAATCTCATAGCATATCCGCATACAAAATATGCATTTGCATGTTTTGAAACGCCGTAGTTTATAAGTAAAGGGTCTAGGATCAACAAATTAAAAAAAAATTTCATCCAAATCTGAACACTACTTCCAAAATTTTTTCAAGGCAATTTCGAAGAGTTGGGGTTCGAAGAATTAAAAATAAGCAAAAATTAAAAAAAACTAAAAAAAATTTCGAAGAATTAAAAATAAGCAAAAGGATTTTTCAGGGTAAAAAATAAGCTGATTACAAATCTGAGATCTGATTGCGAAAAAGTTGAATTCCGAACCCGAATTCAGAATTTGAACCCGGACATCGTACAAAATGATCTAGTCCGATAGGACTCACATAGTTTAATTTTATCTCATAACTTGTCAAAACATGTTCAATCACGATGATTTCGGTGTCATTTGACGCAGCTCTTCGAGCTCTTTCGAACGAGCTACATATGCTTAATCGGAATTCGGGTTCATTTAACCCCTGACCCCAATTCTCAAGGATTACTTTTTTCAAGTTTTTTATGAAAGGTCGTTTTTTAACTGAGTTTCAAACAAATACACCACACCAACAACTTATTCCTTTTATTACTTACCTGATTCTTTGAAACGATGTTCTATAATTGAAAGTTTGATGTTTATGCCCTCCGTCTCGATAATCTTTTTTTCTGCTTGAATTGCCGTCAGGCCGTCGTTGAAGCATTGTAAAATTACAGCGTCTATAAATTGATAAAAAATTCGAACAAATGTCATCTAATAAAAATAATGGAATGGACTAAAAGGCGAATGTTTAGATAGCTTGTCTAATCTATCAAAAGAATACAAATAGGAAAAAGTAATTTTAAAAATAATTGAGAGCCTATACTTCTGCGAGTTTACATCTCCCGCAAAAAATTCTTGCATAAACCCAGTATGGCTAGGCAAATCGAATGATTTGAGTTTTGTGGTCACAGGCATTTACGCACTCTGGGTGTGGTACCATTCGACTCAGCTCGCCGAGACGAATCGAATGTTTATATTTCAATGAGCTTTCGAACCGGTCACCGGCTAAAGTACAGCCAAATTTTTGTGAGTGGCCGCTTTTTTATCCGACTTTTAATCAAATCCATTATATCAAAAACTTTTTCCCTTAATTCCTTACTTAAATGGGTGAAACGACGTTTTATAGTTGAACGACAAGTCGAGTTTGTGCCAATTTTGTTTAATGTTCCCTTTGGCATCAGGCCGTCGTTGAAGCATTGTAAAATTTCAGCTTCTAAAAATTAATAAAAAATTAAGAACGCAAGAAGAATGTTATCTGATTTTATAATAAAATGGAATGGACTGGGAACCGATGTTTAGATTTTTTGTTTAAACTCAGGGTTCGGATTCGTACTTATTTTGGGTGTACAGTACTTACAAATCGACTTTCGTACTTCCAAAATTAAAAATGTACTTATTTGTAAGTACGTACTTACAAATAGACTTTTTGGTTAAAAAATTAAATTTAACATTAAAAATTCCAAAATTTTCGCCTGCGGCGCAAAAAATGGAAGAAATCTGGCTTAAGGACCCCCGAAATTTTCAAAAATTTCGGCTGCGGCGCAAAAAATGGAAGAATTTTTTTGTAGCGTACTTACATTTTGAAAAATTTTCCCCCTGTGTACTTCCAATTTGAACTTTTTGTACTTACACTTGACATTTTCTCGATCCGAACCCTGGTTTAAACTATTAAACAGAGACAAAAAAGAAAAAGTTATTTTAAAAATAATTTAGAGCCTATACTTCCGCGAGTTTTCATCTCCAGCAAAAAATTTTGCATAAATCCAGCACGGCTAGGTAAATCGACTGATATGATTTGAGTATTCTGGGCCTATATTATATTGCAACCAAAACATTAATTATAATGATTTACTTTACTCTTAAGACTCCTTAAGAGCGACTAAACGGGTCGTAGAATGACTAACAATTAGTAGAATGTTTAATTAATAAATTAGACATTATTAGACCGTCTACATCTCTAACACTTTAAATTTGTGAGATGGTCTGAAAATAATCTTGATCTTACTAAGAGTTCTTTTGTTGACTTTGAATAAATAAGATGGCTCATTGATTTTATCGATAATAAGTTACCTATCCCACTATCCCATTCTTTTTTCTTCTTTCGAGTTGTTTTAACTTCAGAATTAGTATATTCAACGATTTGGTTATCATGCTGTTGTAAATCTTGATCTATGCCATCATGTCCAGTAACAGATTGTGCAATTTTTTCTGAGCGTGGGATCACAGCTTCTGAAAATTTATAAAAATTATGAACGCAAGAAGAATGTTACCTAATTTTATTAAAACACCTTAAGAGCGATTAAACAGGTCGTAGAATGACTAACTTGTCATAAAATGACTAAAGATCAATCACGATGATTTCGGTGTCATTTGACGCAGCTCTTCGAGCTCTTTCGAACGAGCTACATATGCTTAATCGGAATTCGGGTTCATTTAACCCCTGACCCCAATTCTCAAGGATTACTTTTTTCAAGTTTTTTATGAAAGGTTTAAAATACATATTTTAAATAAATTTTTAAATACACCCTATTGTGTCAAAAAAATTTTATTTAAAATCCAGTTTTATCTATTATTTTCGATAGTCTAGTGTTTGCCAGAGATTTTAATTTTTTGAGTCAGAATATATGAAATATATACTCTTAATGAGAGTTCTTTTAGTGACTCTGATTAAACTAGGATAGCTCATTGATTTTATCGCTAATACATTACCTTGTTCACTATTCCTTTTTCTTTTCTCCTTTCCAATTGTTTCCATTTCAGAATTAGTATATTCAACAATTTGGTTATCAAACGGTTGTAAATCTTGATATATGCCATCATATCCAGTAATATCTTTTGCAATCTTTTCAAGACCTTCAATTTTATTTATACATTCCAAAATATTTAAAAAAAATTTTATATACACCCCTAATTCTACAAAATATTTTTAATTAAAATTTAGTTTTATTCATTAATTGGTATAATTTGGTATATATTAACTAAAAAGTTTAATATATTTGGGTGGCCATTTTTTTATTATTTTCCTCTCCTAGAAAAAAATGAAAATTTTTTATTATTCTATTTTTCATTATTCTATTGTTTGCCATTATTGAGTCCGAATATATATTTGTTAAAACTTTAATTATTTAAAGAAAAGAACCGCGGGTTTTGCACAAAAGATTTTTTGTGCAAACCCCGCGGGATACAGATGTCAAGTACACCCCGACATGTTTGCATTGAGATTATACAATTTTTCACTCTCTGCATTTTTGATTTTAAAAATAATTATGTGAATAATATTTGATATTAAAAATAATTAGCCCTAAAGAGTATCTCATGTTTAAGGTTTATGTAATCATCATTTCTTTCCTTTCACGAGTTCTAGAGGCCGCAAAAACATTCCTAAATCAGACTGGACATTTACTGCATAACATGTACCTTCTATATGACTTCTAATCTCAGCTAAGTTTTGACAAGCCTGATCATATTCTTCCTTTGTTTTACGGACCTTTTCTTTATAAAATTCTTCATCTTTTTTAAAGTCTTCTATTGTTTCATTTATTCGTTTCCATCGATTCATTTTTATTCCAGAAGGTTCTCCTTGACTATGAAGGTTATGTCGATGGTTGAAATTCATGCATTCCGATAAGTCGAATAATATGCAAATAAAGAATAGAAAAATAGCAAATTTTGCCAAGTTCATCTTTAAATTGAAAATAAATAAAGGAATAAATTTTTCATACACTTTGTATTAAAATGATAGCGCCGCCTAGATTTTATCAATTTCCTAGCAAATATTAAATGGATCTGTTTCAAATTTTGGTAGAAAAAAAAAGTTTAATTCAAATTTTAAAAAATTTTATAGTAATAAATTTGATTTTAGAGTGTAACAAAAAGATAGCGCCACTTGTATTTTCGACCTTAGGGGTGGTTCTAAAAGTCTACGAAAATCCCTGTAAACATATCTATCGATATCTATAGAAAAGACAAAAGAAACGAAGTTCCGATATAATTCCCTCATTTAGATCTGAAAACTCGAAAATAAACGGGAAAAACGGGAGTATATAAATAAATACGTTCTCTGTATATACAAATGTTTTTTAGATTATTATTTAGTAATAAACAGTTTAACGCAATAAAATTTTTAAAAGATAAATTATTGTAAATCAAATAGCAATCATTTTTGCCCTATCTCTTATAAAAAATTTTTTTACCTTTTTGAAAATAAAAATTACTCCCCATCATCCCCTCCTCAATCCAACCTACCCAAATGTCATTCACGCGAATATAGAGAAGCATGTATGTCGACATATGCGAGCGTTTCTTTGAGAATACCGTTTTAATATATGAGCGCGTTTTCTTAGCGGCTTAAAATCATTTTATATAAAGTTTTGTACAAACAAGAGGACTACAACTTCAATCAGGAAAATTTTTAATTTGTTTAGAGAATCCACAATGACGACTCGTTTTTGATGTTTGTTTATAATTGGGGCTACAACAAATATTTTAAAATTGCAAAATTGTGTCAGCGGTCATTTTCAAAAACGTATTGAACAAAAGTCTATCCTGAAGATAAGGATGCACTAAAATTCCTATTGCTGAATTTCCCTATTTTACTGCCTAAAAAGGATCCGTTTCTAACAATTCCATTCTCAATAATTTTATTCCAAAACTTCCATCCTCATTTTTGTTATTTTCTGTAGATTTAACCAAAATTCGTTGATTATTTTCATAATTACAAAAACAAAAAGAAAATATTAATAATAATATTTGACAAAAAAAATAGATATTTAATAAAAAACATTAAAACAAAAAATTATTTTTAAATAAATTTATATTTTTTAAATAATTAAAAAAAATTAAATGAATTTTTTATTTAATTAATTCAAATTTATATAACGCATTAAATGATGAAATAAAAATTATTACATAATAGTCTATCTTAATTAAAGGTACTTAATCATTAGTTTATTTTACATAATAATGCACTTTAATAAAAAATAAATATTTTTGTTTAAAAAAATATTCTTTCCCAATATTACTATTTTGAATTAAATAAATGTACTTTATCATTAATGTATTTATTTTAAAATAAATTTACTACTGTATAAAGTGCAAAATTATGAAATTATTTTTTTTAATTTTATAATTTGGCAATTAAAATATTAATTTAATTCTAGAGAATGTCGGAATTGGACTCTTAAAATAAAATGTAAGAAGTTAAACAAAGTTTGCGAGATCCCAGTAAAAGCATTTCTTTTTAAAAAATGCCCGCGCACTCATGTAAACAACATCGGGTGATTTAAAAGTCGGAATGTCATAAGATGCTGTTGCACTTTTAATTTCACGCGCAAAAAAAGAAAATAAATTTAATAAAAAACTAAATAAAATTAAAAAACTTTTTTGGAGTTATTCCTTCTTTCCATTTGAAAACATCAAATGCGAGGTATGAAGCTTTATATATTGTCGCGTATTTTTTTGACCTTTTTGTTCCTTGTCGTTTTTGTTGAAAGATTTTTATTTCTATTTTTAATCGCCTACTTTAAAATTCTTCCCATTATTCATTGCACTTTGTAAATTTTTGCTATTATTATGTTAAAACCCTCCCATTTTTCCTCTATTTAAACGTTAGGATTTTAGGGTATATTCAGAGTTTATTTTGTAAATTCTCAGAATTAAGAGTTTTTTAGATTCTCTCAGAGTTAAGAGTTATCTTTGTGTAAAGATTCACT